TTCTCCATTATTTGCTAAATCTGAGAAAAAGACAGAGTCTAAGAATAGAGACAACATATGTTAAGCCACGGAATCACCTGACTTGTGTGTAATGATTGCACGTTTTAACAGCGGTGTATCAAAGTCTTACACAAACCCAAGACACAAAGCCTTGCCTAACTTGACAAGACTTGCTGTTAACAATAGAATGTTAGATGCCAGAGCCCCTGCTTCACCGGCCACTCTTCCAAATCAGGTAAAGTGGTCTCTCTGTTTTTCCCCCCGAGATCTTTCAAAATCTATAGTTCTGTTGTTGCAAAGTGATACTTTGGCTTACAGTTCAATCAAACATATGGTGTTCTATAGGGTTTTATCACTCAGCTTTCAGACCAAATATCAACACTGAACGAGAGGATGGATGAATTCACATCTCGCATTGAAGAGTTGAATTCCAAAATCCCGAACAGGATAGCTGCTTCAGGTAGTCAACATAACTTGGCATTGCCAATCGAAAACGGTAATGGGTCCGTCTTATCGCTCTCCTCATCCGCATCTCAGCTCGTAAGGGAATCTCCTCTGATGGAAGAGGTATGTTAACCAACTCTCCAAAATCAGAATCACATATGCTCAGTTTCATTTTTGATTGCTTCACTCCAATAGACAACAACAGAGCATCAGATGCATCAAAGAGAGCTTTAGACTCGATAGAAACAGAGGATGGGTCTATCCATGAACATAAGATAGAGAAATCTAAGCTCACGATTTGGAAAATAATTCATTTCTCTTCGTGACTTTATAATGTTTTTTTATCATCTGAACAGGTCATACTCATTGCTCGTGGACAGCGTCAGATAATGCTTCAAATGGACACACTGAGCAATCTTCTTCGGGAGTATGTTGGAGAAAGGTCTCGCATAGAGAGACTCGACAGCAACAGAACAAACAGTAAAACACAAAACCTCGAATCCTCTACTGTACCTATTCTTCTTGGTTTGGGCATTGGCTGTGTGGGCATTTTTGCCTACAGTCGTCTGAAATAGTTGCTGTAACTGTGAAAAACCAGGCTTCGTGATAGTGGCAATGATGTAAATAACATGGTTTGGGATACGCACTGGACAAATTCAGTCTTGACAATGTAACATGTACCAAGAATAAAAGACTGATTCGTTTTACATTACCAGTTGGAAAATCTTAATACTATTTTTCTGGTTGAAGAAAATGGAGTCTACAATGAAACATGAGGCAGTAAGAGTAATTTGTATCATTATCCTAATACACAGTAGAAGAAGCAAGTTCTTTGGCATCTTCAACAACTTGATCATAGTCTGCCTTGAATGACTCTTGAATCTTTGAGTTTAGTTCTCCTTTCGCAGGTTTTGTTAGGACAACCAAAGTCTAGGTTCGTTTGTATCGGTTTAAGTTTCAATCCGGTTCTTCTTTGTCCCCAAATCAAGTGAAACCGTACGTCATACAAACTTCATTGAAATAACGTCTTACTACGTAATTCCATGATATACGTCATACAAACTTTAATTATATTTCACATGTTTGCAAATTATGAGGAGATCCCTAGAGTCGAGCACCCAACTGGTTCGAAGTGTCTATCGTTGAGCCAAAAGCTGAGACTTCAGTCCGGTTATTAGAACATAAGTAGTTCAGTGACTGTAGCCAAGATACCAAAGATGGCTTGCGAATCACATCGTCTGACTCAGCCACTTGACCATACAACTCACCAAGCACCATGTTCTGTCTTTCTTTTGGTAACTTTATAATTAGTTGCGCCAATGACTTCATAAGATATGGCAACACCTGAACCAAAACAAAAAATGTATACGAAGACAGAGAGAACATTAACGTATGAGCAAAGTAACCATCTTCTAGTAGCTCAAGTAGATGAGTATGAGGAAAAAGAAATTTACTTGTATATCAACCAGAGAGACAAGTCGCAAAAGCAACTCAAGAATTTGACTACCAGGATCAGACTTTCTTCCTTGCAAAGAATTGGTGCTAAATGTAGAAGCCTTCTCAACAAGGCTGTGAACAGAATAAAATATAGCAGGACTTCCTGCAGGTAGATGCCGGACCAAGGTTGCAACGCCGGAAGCTAAACCTTCAAAAGGTGTGATCTCAGGGTAAACCTGCAGTTATTTCAACCAATCATATACACATTAGTAATAATAATTAAACAGAAATACGTTACATCCATTCTTCTTTTTTTGCTTAGGTACCTCCAAAGATCGTTGCATGTAATAGAAAACAAGGTGTTCTTTGAGTTGATTTCGTTCGCCCTCCTCTAAATCTTTTGCTGATGAGAGAAATGCTACCAACAATGTATGAGATGCTCGCGCCACTTTTCTGTTAGGATGTCCAATATATCTAGCCACATAATTGTTAAGGAATAGGAAAGATAGTACTCGTAGTTAAGTAAAACAGAGTGAAAGACTTCTCGATCTTTTCTCTAGGATACAAAAACATGGTTGATGCAACCACTCCCCTGAAGTCAGAAGCAGATAACCGTCCAATGCAAGTTGGGATTACTCGAAGATAAAACAGTATTCGAGATGTCTGTACATCATCTCTTGACCATTCATATTTAATCCTTTGCGTAAACAAGTCTGCAGAACAAGAAAAGAAAAAAAAGAGATTCCAAATCTTATTAATGTAACAGCCAACAGAAAATTGTGATATTGAAATTGCAGAAACAACTGATTTCTCAAACCTCTCGGAGTCGTCAAGCTATTATAGGAAGGAATGGACTCTACAAATGAAACACAAGGAGCATCATTCTCCTGGACACATGAAATCACCTCTCTAATTGTCTCCATGTATTCAGGTAAACGAATATGTCTGAAATACTCTACACAGGAGAACGAAACTAATATCTTAACTGATGTCTCCATTTTTCTTTCTTTAGACACTATTGGTTTTAGCCATTGTTTCGTAACAGCTAGCGCAAAGACGACAACCATAAGGAAAGATGATTCTGCAATTTTTTCTATGTCTCCAAGCAATGTATCTTCTATACCACGAAGCAACAGAGCAATTTGACGGTGCTGTAAGTAGAGATTTTGACAGAAATCCCAAGTCATATTCTCCACAATATACTTGTTCTCTTCACTTGCTGATATATATTGATTGCAGAAAGCCCCAGTTATGGCCCCTGATTCCTTGAAAAGAACATTAGAGAGATGCTTCCTGACCCAAATGAGTCTTGGTCCAATAGGCTCTTTGCCAAAAGCTTTGCAAAATGATTCATATATCTGGCCTAAAGGAAATACCTGAGTTAACAATGCAGAAGTGAGACACAAAAGCAGAGGAGCAGAGGAAGAAACAGACCCACATCGAGCCAATGCTATAGCAAAGCACTTCAACAGAGGACCTTCTCTCTGAATGGTTGGAAGTGTAACAATACCATTAGACACTAAAAGTTGAGCTACAAATTCTATTCGCTTTTCAGCTGAATTTCTTAGTTTAGAAATCTCAAAACTCTGTGCGCCATTACTGAATCCTGCCGTGGAAGCTCTCAGTACCCCAGCTGCTGCCATGAAGACAGCGAAAACAGTATACTTTTCCTTAGAAGTCTCGAGAACCTCGTTAGCAAAAAGAGACATCTTGTTGATATAATTAGACCTCATATAACCTGACATAACCCACTCGATCAAATGAAGAACCATCAGACCATGAGTGACACTGCCACGAGGACCCTCGTCTTTTAACCAAATGCCAAACAATAAATCCAATAGTCTAAGGTAATGAACATCCAGCGAAGAAGATAAAGCATACCCAATTCCTGCAAGCAGTACAGGAACAAGTTCTTCTTGAGATCCCACCAATGAGTACTCTTCTTCCAAAAGCCTGCATAACAATTCCAAGCATAAGAGTTTCAAGTCTCCAGACAGAGAAGGAACACACGCAAAGGCACCAGAAACCAGAACGCTCTGCGCTACTAAAGTTGGCTGGAGATTACGCCTGTCATCAACAACACCACGAATGGCCTGAACCGCTGAACCAACAAGAGCTTGAGACGGTCGAAATGCTTTCCTAATCCACACATAGAGTAGTCTGAGAACAAGTGTGTAAGAGTCAGACGGAAGAGATACATCTTCTCGTAAAGCTAATATGGATATAAGTAGCTTTGCTTGGGGATCTGCGACATGGATAGTGGAGTCAGAGCTAACCAAAGCTCTCAAAGCTTGAAGATAACGTGTATCAAAGTTATGGTTTTGGAGAGATTCACGAATCTCAGACCATGCTTGAATAATCGACCTAGCAGATGGAGCAGAATTTTGCTGCACTAAATCACCAGAGACACTACTTCCACTCACAGTCCTTAACCATTCTTCAAGGAACAGACTGTTGTTAGCTTTTCTCGCCATATTTACTAGGACTAATTCAGTAGATTCTCATCAAGTATTAAGCCCTAAATCACGATAGATTATGGATTGATTCAGAGCTGAATAAACCCAGAAAAATCGTAAACAGAGAAGAACGAAAATTCAGCATAAATTCATCGAATAGACTCTTCAAAACACACAAACCCAGATTAATAAATAAGCGACGGAGTCGAACAAAAGAGCTTCAATTATCAACAAATTTCTAGCCAAAGATTTCTCTCGGCCTCTCTCGTAGTTTGTAGATAACAACAAGAAATCGCCGGCAAACTAGATAAATCTGACTAGTAGTTAGCCGTGACGGAGTTGCAACATTTGTTTGTGGTTAAGGATAAACCAAATAACACGAAAACCGGCGATAAAACCGCATGGTTCGAAGTAAACCAGCTACGGGATTGTTAAATGTCTTTATCTTCAATGAGTGAGGTCATGCTACGTAAATAAATTGTAGTTATATTTTCCGAAATGAGAAGCACATGAGCTAATTTCCTCGTTGTCTACTTCCTTGAGAGACTTCAGAATAAGTTTGCACAAAATATTGAAAAGCAAACCAATTAAGTCAACGCTTCACGTGACTGGGTAATATCGATCTCCAGATTCTCCCTACGAAGCCAATTTCTCTCAATTAACTGAACAAACAACACTAACTTCTTTTTGGCATTTAAACAAATGTGTACATGATCTTTTCTTTTCTTTTCTTTTTCTTACGTACATGATGTTTTATTATTATTACAGACTATAATGTACATCAAATGAAAAATAATAAAAAGATGAGTAAATTACATCATTACACCAAAAGTGAAAAATAAAAACTTCACATGACAAAGAAGAATAAAAAAAAAATCCAAGACATATACGTACCAAGAAAGAATATTAGCTTTCATCTGATGAATAATTAATCTTCTAGTATTATTAGTCATATACGTGTTTTACTATATCTATGAAAATATAAAGAAAATTTAAAGCAAAAATTAAGAAGACAATTCAGTGGTGCAAGGGGTTTGGACCAGATGGGACGAGCCGTTTCTCAACGCCATATCTCGGATCGATCTCGGATCCTCCCGGCGGCAAATCTTTCCAATGATTACTCCGGCCACTATCTTTCAAGAACGGTGTGAAGTCAAACGTTTTCACCGCCAAAACTCTCCTTCCCGGCCGGTAGGAAAAGGGCGGCAAGGTAATAACTGGAGAAGGGAAATAGTTTATGGATTTGGAGCTGAAATTGCCAAACAACCCTTTAGAGACGAAGATGAGAAGAGAGATCCATAGAAAAAAACCTAAGACATGTGAGACTCTAGTCGTCGCCATGGAAATTAAAGATCATAGAACCATCGAAGACATAGATGAGATATAGTGTTAATATATATACAATATACGTATACGTATGTATGCAGTATGTAGAGAGAGAGATAGAAAGAGAGAGAGAGATGTGAATTGGAGACAGCGTTTTCCAACGAAGAAACTTCCTTTGCGTTCAAGGAAGAGGCCTCATTAAATTTGAAGTTCATAATAAAGTCAAACCTCTCATCATATATTATTTTATTATATGAATTTCAAATTTCGTTTTTTTTTTTTTGTTGTTGTTGTTGTACAAAAGCTTAATTAACAAGATACAAATAAAGAGACACGGGAACATAAATTGCATGATAAGAACAAGTTAAAATACGATTTTTTTAAACTAATTTTGTTAGCACATTGAATGATTGATTTTTTTTGTTCCATACATATATATAATTGTTCTTGTAGATAAAAAAATTAGCATAACAAAACAACTTGACCGCAACAAGATTGTTGCATGAGCCATTTTTTAAAAATAGCAAAACCAATGACAAATTTTCTTCTTCCGAAATGGTGATTTTAGATATGTTTATTATCTTGTTGCTTAGCTAGTATGTTTCTTTAAAAACCGGAAGATCTTAAGAGTTCATTACTTCATAATAATCTCCGAGTTCTACAACTTTCATGTGGCTTTTACAACGACAAAAAAATGCATCTAGCGGAAATTAATCCACAACCTATGCATTTTTGTCACTCTTCACACGCGTATGTGAATAAATATATAGTATATATGTACTCGACCATCGATGCGTATGTGTACATAAAATAGGTAATAGTTCATGTTATTAGACGGTACACAAAACACAAGTACCTAGAGTCGTGCCAAGGAATTTTAATGCCATAGGCGAAAAAATATAGTTTCATATTTAAATAAAATATTATACACATAACAAAAGTATATTTTACTGTTTAAAATTTAATAATAAATTTACAAAATTTTAAGCAAAACTTATAAAATAACTTATGAACAAAATAATTATAAAACAAAACAAAAATAGAAATTAGGTTAATTATAACGTGTAGTCTAGTAACAAAACAAAACATAATTTTGGTAGTTAATAAAAATCTAATATACTAAAGATAAAGTTGTTATTTGTGTCATTGTTATACAAACGGTATAATGTATGTTGTTAACAAAACAAAACATAATTTTGGTAGTTAATAAAAATCTAATATACTAAAGATAAAGTTGGATAAAGATGATTACCATAAATGAAGCTGGTAAATAAATGAGAAAAAAATATTTAATGAGATTAAAAAAAAACTGAGAAAATAAGACTTTAAGTTATTGCTTAAGTGTGGAAATTTAAGATTCCTTGTATATATTGCACATTATACTATTTTCCTTTATTATTTGTATTAATCTCCCTAAAGTTATTGCTTCAATAGTACTTATATAGTTATATGATAAACACAATTAACAAATAAAGCCTCTTAGATTTTTTATAAAATTCTGCAACGTAGGCGAGTGTTTCTTTATTTCCTTAATAGGCACGGCTCTGCAAGTACCAAAACAATTACTTGAATATTCAGGCATGGGTTGACATCAACAAGTAATATTCACCATGTACAAAACTAAGTTTTGACATCCCAAAATAGTTTGACTAACCAATTAAATATGAGGGCGTTATAAGAGGCAAGAGCCATGGTTTTGGCTAGGCCTGGACATTCGGGTACCCGTTCGGGTTCGGTTCTTTTTTTTCGGGTATCGGATCTATTCGGGTAGGGGTCAAGACCCATTCGGGTATTCTAAAAATTCGGTTCGGGTTCGGGTCGGTTCGGGTATTTTAATAAAAAAAAAAAGCAAAATACCCGAAAATAACCAAAAATACCCAAAATATTTTTGGGTTCGGGTCGGATTCGGGTTTTTAACTCATATATACCCAAATCTAACCGAAATACCCAATTTCTCGAAAATACATTGGTTACTCTTTACCCAAATATAACCAAAAATATCTAAAAATACTAAAATTACCCAAAAGAAAACTACATCATTAGTTACTTTTTAACCAAATATACCCAAATGTATCCGACTTACTCAAAAATACCTAATATATTCGGATTTATGATTGTAATTTTAGGTATTTTGGGTATTATAAATATAAATATAACTAATATTTTTTAGGTGTATATTTGTATTCGGGTACATTCGGGTACATTCAAGTATTGGATTCGGTTCGGGTTTTTTTCGGGTAGGAGGTTAGGACCCATTCAAGTATTTTTAAAAATCGGGTTCGGGTTCGGTTCGGGTATTTTTTGGGTTTTTCGGTTCGGGTATTCGGTTCCGGGTATTTTGCCCAGGCCTAGTTTTGGCTCTTTTAAATGATTTTATACAAATTTAACAAAAACGTAAGAAAATGAACGAACAAAAGAACTGCTAAAAAAAATGATTGGCCGACATTTCATAGTTCATACATCACTAATATAAAAAGATGCATCATTTCACTAGGGCCTCCTAAATTGCGAGTTGACATTTTCTTTCAACGACAGAAGTTGACACATGCTAAATATCAAATTAAAAGTGGTTTTTTTGTTTACGGAGTAACGCGACTTACTGGAGTCGAACTCCGATGGAAAAGACGGAGTTAGATGGATTTAACCACTTGACTAAAGGCACATCCCTATTTTTAAAAGTGGTTTATAGTTTTCATTTTTTAATTTATGGTTTGGTACAACAACAGAAATTATAAATATACAAAAAGGTCAAACCTCAAATAGAAGGGAGAAATCTTTTGCACACAAAAAAGAAGAGAATGGAAATCCATATAATTGGGCCTAATTGAAAATGTTTTAACCAAGCCCATGATGAAATACATATAGAAAACAATAGGAAAATATTTAATAATTTTAAAACATAGAGGAGTTTTATGTAAATTAGAGGAACCGATCCATCGTTCGTTGGCTGTATAAAAAGGTTGCCTCTCCGACTAACAACAACAACATCTCGGCGAAAAAGGAACATGGCAAAGGCTCGGAAGCCGAAGAACGAGGAAGCTCCTGGCGCTAAGACTTCGGAGAACACTGGAGCTAAAGTTCTTCACCAGAAGCTCTTTCTTTCTATCGACTTCAAAAAACGCCAAATCTACGGGTCCGTTTTCCTCTCTTGCTCTCGATTGTTCATTCGTGAAACAAGTGCGTGAATGTGATTTTTCGCTGCTAAATGCAATTCGAAACCCTAACTATGGGCAGAATTCGAATTTTACACCAACAGTATTCTTCGGATTTTTCAATTCATGTTGAAATCCTCTGCTTTTGATTATTTGGGGTTTTACTTTATTCCTTGGCATTATCGTTCTTAGCTGTATTTTCATGGGATTTTTGTTTGGCTTTCTTTAGTTACACAGAGTTAGAAGTGAGTGTGCCAGATATTGGTATAGTGGGACTACACGCAGAGAACTTGGGAATTGAGAGTGTTTTGGTAGATGGGGAACCTACTGTATTTGAGTACTATCCGCACCATCAGAACTCTGAAACTGAGAGTAATTGGAACTCGGTCACAGACCCTGCTTCAGCAGCTGATGCCGCGGCCATGGAATATATTGGGGTTCTTAAGAGAGAAGACACTGCAAATTTACTGATCAATTGTTGCAAGCCCTCTAAGGATCTATCTGAACAGCTGGATAATGTGACTTTAGAAAATGGTTCCCAATCTTCCGGGGAGGTAAAACAGGTAATTGTTCTGATTCTCTTCATCGTTTTTTTTTAATATGTCAAATGCGATCTAATGAGCTTAGAATTACAGCAAATTCTCTTTGATCTAGATTTTACCTTTGCTATGCTTACTCTTTGTTCGCCTTTACTACTTTCGTGGAACACATATCAGGCTATCTATTCTCGTTTGTTCAATGCTAGATAAGAACTTGTAATATTGGTAGCTGAAATTACAACAAAAAAACTAACGCGATTAACATTGGAGCTATCGATACTTTTGTGTAATCCTGATTCTCATATACTCTGCTATGGGTTACACAGTTCCAGAGTGAGAACTGTCCTCTGTTTAACGATTTATGTATGCTCATATGATGCAGAATGTTAAATTGATTCGGATTAACTACTGGGTAGAGAAAATAGAGGCAGGAATTCATTTTGTTGGGAACATTGTACATACTGATAACCAGATGAGACGTGCCCGTTGTTGGTTTCCTTGCATAGATGATGAGTACCATCGTTGCAGGTATTCAGTTTTTTAAGAAGTATCACTGTTGTCATGTCTCTTGTCTCTTGAGATCAAAGTGGGTATCGCAACCTGTTTAACTTTTTTCTTATAAAAACTTTGTGGTGGATGCAGTTTCGATTTGGAATTTACTGTTCCGCACAACTTTGTGGCTGTTAGTGTTGGGAAACTACTCTACCAGGTAAACTGTATATCTGTCATACATGAATGGATTAGAGGAAGTACTATTTTGTTTGATCCTGTATTTTACGTACAATGCATATTCCACATAGTTCTGGCTTGAATGGAAAAACTTAGAAAAAGCTGTGATTCCCATGACTTGTGGACGTAGGCATAAAACCTGCGTCCAAATTTGGTTTCAGCTTATATACGAAATAAGCCATATCCAGAGCTGTTTAATCTGAAAGTGTACTATCTCTGTTTGCAAGGAAAATTGTTAATTGTTCTGTCCTTATATTAATCAGAACATTTTGCTGTTCTGTTTAGTTATCTAATGAAACTGGATCAAACAGAAGATTTTTTTCTCTGTTATTGTAGGCATATAAGCTAAAACTTTGTTGAATATGTTTACATTTTTCATCATTCAATTTTATTAGTACTCTTACAAGGTGGAGGGGGCGTGTTCTTTAAACTTTCACACTTTTCAGGTTATGTGCAAAGAAGATACTACTCGTAAAACGTATGTTTATGAACTAGCTATTCCTATCGCACCGCGGTGGGTGTCTTTAGTCGCAGGACCATTGGAAGTCCTTCCAGATCGGACCAACTTTCTCATATCTAACTTGTGTTTACCGCATGATCTCTCGAGGCTTCGTAATACAATGGAATTTTTCCATGAAGCTTATAGGTCTGTAAATTGTATTCTGGCAACTTCTTGTAGTCAAACTGAATTAAAGTATAATTCTTGTCTACTGGAAATCAACTTCTACAGCTACTATGAGGATTATTTAAGCGCGAATTTTCCATTTGGATTCTACAAGCAAGTTTTTTTACCTCCTGAAATGGTTGTTACCTCGTCGACTTCGGGAGCTTCCTTGAGTATCTTTAGCTCCCACATGCTATATGACGAGAGGGTTATTGATCAGGTATTGTTTCCTGGTAAATTGACCTGTGGGTAGATAATACGTTCATCAGACACATGCACGTAAATGGTTTGTATATGTTAATATTAGAATGGAAGGCACTCCAGACTGAATTTGTATGGTGCATATTTGAAAAAGTACAACAAAGCACGTATCTGAGCATGTTAAATATATTTCTGCATTACCACTTATGAATATTGCAAGCTGTGTTCATCTATTTCTTGCATTTCACCCCTTCATTGGCATATGGATTTTGGTGTAGAAGGTTTCACTATGTTAATAGGAAGTTTTATTTCTTTGTTCGTGTTTCGTCATCTTATTACTTCCTTTATGCACAAATCTGATAGACCTTCAATTGTCTTTGCAGACAATAGATACACGCATTAAACTTGCTTCTGCGTTAGCAAAACAGTGGTTTGGAGTTTATATTACTCCTGAATCACCAAATGATGGTGAGCTTGTGACATTTTTCTACACTTTGCTTTGCGTACGATTTGTTATATCAGCTTCATGTGAAAGCATGTGATTTTGTGATTCATGATTGTCCATGTTGTTATAACAGATTGGCTCCTCGATGGTCTTGCTGGTTTCTTAACGGATATGTTTATCAAGCAGTTTTTGGGAAATAATGAAGCACGATACCGGAGATACAAGGTTTATACTTACTACTCGAGTTATTCTTCCCTGACGCCTGTAACCATTTCTGAACTAAACCATGAACCTCATCTGGATTCTCTTAATTTTGTTTGATGCAACTGCAGGCAAATTGTGCTGTCTGTAAAGCTGATGATAGTGGTGCAATGTGCTTGAGCGCATCTCCTTCTTGCAAGGACCTATTTGGAACTCATTCTATTGGGATGCATGGGAAGATACGATCATGGAAATCAGTAAGCCATATTTTTTCTTTTCATCTTTATCATTCCGTGCTCTCAAATTTTTGTGGGAGGGGATGAGTTTTCTGGGATTAATTTACATGATTTTGCATGCGTTGTTTGTTACGAAGAATAATTTTTCTCTTATTTTTGAAGGGAGCAGTCCTTCAGATGTTGGAGAAGCAAATGGGCTCAGACTCATTTCGGAAAGTATGGTCATGGTGCTATCGTTTTTTCAGGAAATTACTTTGTTAGTTTTCTTACGCACAAAATTAATAGACCTTCTACTTGATGATTTACAGATATTGCAGAAAATTATTTCTCGAGCCAAGGATCCATCTAATTCTATACGGTCTCTTAGCACGAAGGAGGTAACATGACTGTGTATCCAGATAAGCTGTGTTTGTTTGTTACATGTTACGCTAGAAAAGATCCACATATTTCCTTTAGTTTTAAGTTTTTTTTTTTTTTGATAAACTCCTTAGTTTTAGTTAGTTAAGAAAAAAAATTAAATATGAGAAAGCATTTTGATCTTTCCGTATAAAGTATGTATACCTGGGATAGTTGCAGTTCTAAGATAATCATCTAACGTAATCTTTTGGGTTAGCTGATAACACTAAAAGGTCAGCAAGTATTTTGGGATTTCTTCTTTGGGAGCTTTTCTTAACTAAATATTTTCCTTGCTCCTGGAGCATTTTTTATTATCAAATGGATCTCTGTCTCTTAGCTGTGACTTGATATACTTCATAAATGTCGTAAATGTGCCACTCGACCATAATGTGATACGGCCATTCATCCGTAACTTGGTTCAACAACTCATAATCTAATTGTATACAAATACGAAACATCTCCTCCATTTGTTGTATATTTCTCTTCGTGATCAACTGATTATCTTTCAGCTTGAATTTTCGAAGTCAGTTTCTAATATGTGTGTTTCTCAAATTTCACTTTTGAGATGCAGTTCCGGCAATTTGCTAATAAGATTGGAAATCTTGAGCGTCCATTTCTTAAAGAATTTTTTCAGCGATGGGTTTCATCTTGTGGTTGTCCCGTGCTAAGGTATTTTTTTTAATTAAGAACTACTTTCTTCTGAACTTAGTTCAATGGATTCCTGGGTCTTCATTAAATCTTATCTCGATGTTCTTTACTGCTGTTTTATTAAATCAGGATTGGGTTGTCTTACAACAAAAGGAAAAACAATGTTGAAATGGCTGCTCTACGCGAATGCACGGCTGCACTGGATGCAAGATTATCAGTTATTGGGGCTACTTCTGATTCAGAAAGCCGGGATGTGGATGCTGGCTGGCCGGGTATTATGAGTATAAGGGTTTATGAACTCGATGGAATGTCTGATCATCCAAAGTTGCCTATGGCTGGAGATAGATGGCAGCTACTGGAATTACCATGTCATTCTAAACTTGCTGCTAAACGCTATCAAAAACCAAAGAAGGGAGGGAAACCTGATGGGGCTGAAGACAATGTTGATGCTATAGCACCGTTAGAAAATAAAACGAGGTGGGTTTCTGTGATACACTATTCCTGGCATTCCTGGTCTGTTTACATACCTTGCAACAACACAAGAAAGAGAACTGAGACTCTGAGAGATTGAATCTTTCTCTGTAGCATTGAATCTCCCTTGGCTTGGATTAAAGCTGACCCTGAGATGGAATATATTGCTGAGATTCACCTTCATCAGCCCCTACAAATGTGGGTAAGAGATCTGCTCTGGCACATCTTAAAAATCTATGGTGCACATCACAGTCGTCTATTTCTTTCGCTTTCTACATGGTTGGTTCATGACAAGAAGCTCATGAACTATTTTACTTAGGTATTATCTAACTGAGTCTTTCTGTGTGTTTTGTGTGCGCACATGTGTGTGTTGTGCTGTTAGTTCTAGACATCTCAAAATCCTACATTGGTTTGTTGACTACAGTTCAGGTTTAATTGTTTCTCACACTTTTGGGTTTCCGTGACTTTTGATCAGGTCAATCAACTAGAGAAGGATGGAGATGTTGTTGCTCAGGCACAAGCAATTGCGTCACTTGAAGCCTTAAAACAACACTCCTTTTCCATTGTGAATGCGCTCAAAAATGTTCTCTCTGACTCCAAGGTTTTGTCCGGCCCTTGTGTACTTTTTCTCTAAAACCAGTTTGAAGATGAAGTTCTTTTCTCCAAAATATTATTGTGACATATAGGTCTTCTGGAGAATACGTATTGGGGCAGCGTTTGCATTGGCTAAAACAGCATCAGAGGTATAATAAAATTGTTCAATCTTATGTTCCAAAGGGACAAGACATATAATAATCAAATTTGTAACTTGATTTAAGTGCATAGTATGAAGGTTAGCAAAAGGCATTGATTCAAAAGTATATGATAAGGAACCTTATATATGCAAATTGTTATGTTTTTAGAGGAATAGAACCAGCTAAAATTTCACCATTTACAATAAAACTTGTGGGAAAAGAATTCCATTCATTCAGGTGAGAAAAATGATAAGGGAACAAATTTAGTAGGAAACTTTGCATTTACTACATTGCAGAAGTAATGAGTGGAAGAAAAAAAATTCCTCTGATCTCAACATTCCTTTCATCAATCTTCCATTCATCTTAATTTTCATTTATTTCTAGCATGTTTACCAGATTTTATTTGTTTCTCTTTTGAGTTCATGAGTGTATGTCTATTGGTTTAAACTGCGTAGTATGCCATCTTTCAACTTATTTTCGTACACTGCACTTTCTAAAGGCCTGCACTCCTTTTTGTGCACTTTGAAACAGGTCTTACTGCAATTGTTGATTTAAGCTCATTTCTGTTTCTAGCAGGAGACTGACTGGGCGGGTTTGCAACATCTAATAAAGTTTTATAAAAGTAGAAGATTTGATGCAGAGATTGGACTCCCCAAGTGAGATTGGAGCCTTTTAATATTTGGACCTCTATTTGGTAACCAGCAGAAGATATCTCATAAAACTGATATTCTCCTTTCAGGCCGAATAACTTCCACGATTTCCCAGAATATTTTGTGCTTGAGGTAGGAAATGAGCATGATATAGTGTCACTCATTGATCTCAGCTGTTAGCTGGAGATGCTATGACGTGTCCTTTCGATATGACAGAAACTGTGTCTGCTCTGCTTAGCATATAAGTTGGGTATCTCCTGAAAAAATTAGGCTACGAATTAATATATCATGGTGAAATAGAAAAAAGAATGAATGTTGAGCCAACAATAAACATAATAGAAAATAATGAGCATAAGGACACATATATTCAGCGTATTCAGCTTTTTAGGAAAATTCGTTATGCAGTGAGGGTGTGATTTCTTGTTTCTCTCTTCTTAGCCTGCTTTCCTCTGGGGGTTTCCATGGTTACCCCCCTGCTGACACTATGGTTTGTAATAGTTTAGCTCTTTTGTTTCACTCGGTTAGCGTCAGTGGTTCTTTGGTTTCTCTTGAACTTTGAACATTTCTTCTCTTTGAACTTTGAACATTTCTTCTCTTGAATGTTTTATCTAAACTCATTGTTATTTTCTACGTCTTAGGCCATTCCACATGCCATTGCAAGAGTTAGGGGTGCTGAGGGGAAAAGCCCTCGAGAAGCTGTTGAATTTATCTTACAGCTTCTGAAGGTATACATCTCCATAGTTCGATTTTATCATTTACTAAGGCGGGTGAATTTTGTGAAACCTGTGTTGCTTACTGATATAGCCTTTTTATAAAAGCTGTTAGTCTTTATTCGCTGCAGTGATTTCTTTCATCTATGAAAGATTAGGTGTTTCGCTTGTTTTCAGTCCATACTATCATCTTTACTGATTTCGCCCTTTTTTTCCTTTTCCACTTTTATAGTACAATGACAACAGTGGGAATCGGTATTCTGATGTATTCTGGCTTGCTGTGCTTGTTCAGTCAGTTGGTGATCTCGAATTCTGTCAGCAGGTCTGTGATTGTTATCTTGTAAAAGCCACTCTATGATTTATCAGTTGTAGTGTAATATTTATTTTGGTCTTTTCCTACTGACGCTATTAGGAGTAAAAACCCCTTGAATTTTATCAACAAAAATGGTACATAGAAAAGACGAGATTTATTTTTGGTTCTTAGCTCATGTATTATATATTAGCTGTCAAAATTTTGAGGCTTCATTGGTTTATGTAGCTTGATGGAGTCTCATACTTATATGAAAAAGAAAAAAAGATGTTTCATTCCTATTCAGTTCATATGCAAAGATGTGGATTTTAGAAATTCAATATACCAGTGTTGCTCTACATGGTTAATGGTTAATTGCTCAATACTTCTTTTTCTCTTTGTTTCCCTGGCAGAGTCTAACGTTTTTGGCCCCTCTTCTGAAGCGCATTGACAGACTCTTGCAGTTTGACAGGTACCCTCATGTTTGATGTTTATGATTGGATAGGTTTTAACAGAACTTATTACTGAGAGCTTGTAGGAGATATATGTACTAGGTTGATGCCAAGCTACAATGGCATCTTGACAATTAGCTGCATCCGAACATTGGCACAGACTGCTCTCAAGCTTTCTGATTCTATCAGTTTCGTAAGTTCTTTCCTTTCGCTTTTTTCTTCCAAGTGCTCCTTATGAGATAGATACCAGCAGTGATAGAATTAAAAGCTTGCAATTTACTGACTTCAGGATCACATCTGTAAACTTATTGAACCTTTCCGAAATTCGGATACAATATTGCAAATTCGTATAGAAGCAAGTAGGGCACTTCTTGACATCGAGTACCAATCCAAAGGCATAAGTTCCACACTTTTGTTGTTTATGAAATATGTGGTAGAAGAATCATCTTTGAGAGGTTGGTTATATTCTCATGCTGGAACATAGCAGCTTTCTCTTTCTAATAGAGTTCATTTATTACTTTTTATATCTTTGGCCCTGATTACAGGGCAGGTAAAATTGTGTGTACACACAATGCGGTTATGTCAAATAGCAGTTGGGTGTGACTCAGACGATTGTGTCGACACTGTTAGTCTTCTGGATTTGCTGCATCTATTCAAGAGTCATGTAGTATTCAACAATGAACTTCTTCGCTACTACTTGTTCTGCATTTTTCAAATTCTCGCGGGAAGGTCTGTAGCCTTTACATTCATTGTCTGCCAGATTATTTTCACAAGTGCTCATTTTCATGTGGTGCATTTGTTTCCTTATTCATTATGGTTGCCTGTGGGTAGCAGCTTAACTTAAAGATTTTATAGCTCTCGGCCGTTCTTGAGTTTTCTTCTGCTTATCACCATAATTTTCCACATTCTGAACAGAATATACTTACTGTTGGCTCATTTTCAGACCCCCAACGTTGTTTGGTGTGCCCAAAGAAAAACCTTTGCAGCTTGTTGATGTGGCGGCCTGCATTGAGCCGAAAAATGTATTTTCGGTTCCGGGAGCAGAGGCAGGGGAGCCTTCACTGGCACTTGGAGATGCCAACGGACAATCGCTGGATGTTGCTCCTTATGGTGTTCCAATAAGACCACAGGAAATGTTCATGCCTATTGTTCCTGAACTAAAGTTGCCAGAACCTGTTGCAGCGTATGATGAGACACAGCATCTTGAACCTCGCATGGAAAGTCAAAACCAACCTTCACATGAAAATCCCATCATTCATGAGATTCCGTCGGATGGTGAAGGTCCAACAGAAGAATTCGCTAATAGGGAAGCAAACCCTCCAACAAAGGAACCTCAAAAAGAACCTGATGTGGTTTCTGTGTCTGTTAGTCATGAGGTGAAGAAGTCTGTTATACGGATCAAGGTCAGACCATCTGGTGCAACCAGCAGAGCCGAGGGATCAGCACGAACCATAGAAAGATCTCAAGGGATTGTGGTACGCCATGATATAGACAGAGGACAAACTAGTTCAGCTTCAGTGGACGCCCCACAGAGAATCTCAACTGATGCTGTGAGCATAAGCAATCAGAATCACGTGGAGGAAGTAAACTCGTGTCACGATGTTGGTTCTCGCATGACTGCGAGTATCGGCAGTGTAAAATTTGCAAGCGAAGGAGATACTTTTGGGAAAGAGTTGCAATGCACTGCTGAGTCTGGGAAAACTTCGACAAGCCAGAAAGCAGATAATAACAACCAAACAGTAGCGCCTAGCATCTTACCACTAGACCATAGTATGGAAAACGAGGCACAGCAGAAATACGCGAGCCTTCAAACACTTTCGGTTGGTAAAGAAAAGGAAAAGAAGAAAGACAAGGAAAAGAAAGAGAAGAAGAGGAAAAGAGAAGATCCCGTTTATCTAGAGAAGAAAAGATTAAAGAAAGAGAAGAAACGAAAGGAGAAGGAAATGGCGAAGCTCGTGAGCAGCTCTTCAGATCCAGCTACAAAGAAGATAGAGAGTGTAGCGGAGGCTAAAGCAGAAGAAGCAAGTGATGGTGCCATGTTGATTAAGGTTGAACCAAAGGCTGAGCCATCAGCAGCAACAGAAGCTCGTCCGCTTCCCAAATTCAGAATCAAACTGAAAAGCAAAGCGTTCAACAACTCATAAGGTAAGATCCGAGCCAGTCTCTCCCGCGAATATCTGAGTAGTACTTAAATTTCCAAAAGCTTTGTTGTTGCAACTTGCAAGGTGTGATGTGTGTCAATGTGATCTATTTGTTCAATGCGATTTAGCCTCTCTTTCTAGCTTCGGTTACACGCCAGAGTTGAAGCGCACTCCACGTCAATTTCACAAACTAACGTTGGATTGAGAAACAGTTCACATTTAATACTAATGGACCGATCTGACAATTATTTGAATCTGGCACATAAATTAGTCCTGGAAAAAAAAAATCACCACACCGATTTCAAGTTAATTACTAAAATAGATAAGTGTATCTTTTTATTTACGAAAGGAAGAAAACGACAGTGAGAAGAGAGAAAGAGGGTTTTAGACAAAAATAAAATAAAAATAAGAAAGAGAAATAACGAAGAGGGGAAAGGGGAAGGGAGAAGAAGCACTGTGGAATCGAAAAACACACATTGCTGCAGCAATTTCTCTCAACTTGGTGGCGTCTTCTCTAACCAACCAACCAAACGAGAGAATATGGAGGCAAAGCTAGAAATCTTCTTTATGCCGTAGGTGGGAGAGAAACAAAAAGACGATGAACTGTGGGAGAGTGTTGAAATCCGTACAAGCCTTGGTGGCTCACTGCTTTCTCTTCTCTTTCACGCTCGCTTTGATGCTCAAGCTCGACCACTCCCTCTCTTACTCCTGGTGGTTAGTTTCTCTCCTCTCTTTTGTTCTCCTTTTCTCTCAGACTCAATTGTTTGGAATCGAAATTCTTCTTATTCGTTAAATTTCGACCGCATCGTTATTGCGTCCTACAAGATTAAGAGATTTGGATTCAGACTTCATTCGTTGAATTTCAAATTCTGAGCTTGGTTTTGTCGGAAAACTCTAAACTGCGAGGTTTTGCTCGTATGTCGCATATTCTTCTTCTGTGGGAACGAATTTTATGTTGGCTTCCATTGGTCGAAACTCTTATCGATTCTCCTTTAAATCATGAAATTCATTAAATAGGAATAAGGAATTGCCGTTTTTGGTATTTTTGGGGAGAAGACATTAAAAGTACATCTTTATGCTATGAGACAGGGAAGCCTGCTAGATTGTTTCACGTGTTCATGTACCAAGTACTATGTTTTGTATGAAGAAACATAGGCTTTTGTTTTTTCGTGAGGACTGCAATGGGAGATGATGTCATCTTCTTGGGAATTTCTTTTTAGGGTCTCAGATTCTTTCCGCTTTCTTTGTGTCTAGGTTTTGGAGGTTTTTTTTGTGTGTTTTTGCTTAGTTATCTATTTCTTTGGTGTTGGTAACATTCAATCGTTTAATACATAACACATGTATATGTTCCGACTGAATCGCGTATGCAGGGTTGTGTGTTTACCATTGTGGGCTTTTCATGCTGTTGTTGCAAGGGGAAGATTCTCTCTTCCTGCTCCAATCGCCCCTCGTAACCGTCATGTATGTCCCTTACTTATATTACCACAATCTTATTCAAAGCCGGTGTTATGATTTCCAGTAATTCGCAGCTAAAAATAACTGATGTCAGCTTTAACCTTTAGATGACACTTATTGATATTTTGGCTTGTAATGACTTGTTTACTTTTTGGTTGGTGTACAGTGGGCTCCATGTCATGCTATCGTCTCAACACCGTTGCTTATAGCTTTCGAGTTGCTTCTCTGTGTATTCCTCGAGACTGCATATGGTACATAACCACAGCTTATATGGTATTTTAAAGCTTAGTTTAGTATCGTGAGAAGGAAAGAAAATGACTTATGTTATACTTGTGCGGTGAAACAAATGATGACTATATGGCTCTGAAAGCGTCTCGTTAGGACTTTTGGTTTTTGGATTAATGGTTAAATTGAATAGCATCACAAAATACTTATAAGCTTCTGTATTATATATTAATCTATTTGAGATGCAGCTGATTCCCCGCCAGCTGTGAGCTTGAAGATTGTGTTTCTCCCTTTATTGGCATTTGAAGTAATAATACTGGTGGACAATGCCAGGTATTTAGAGAGGCTATGTAATACTCGTTTATCTTACCCCAATTATTTCTCACAACCATTTGTTCTTTCGAAATTAGTTCACATGCTTTGTGATTGCATTTGTAATACATCCTTCAATTGAGAAGTGAAGCTACTGAAATATTCTCCGGTATATGAAGCTAGTACCTTTGATGTGGATTAATAACTGGAAGTAAACCTTTATAGTAAAATTTACTGTCTCTTAGTTGGAAGAGCTCTTCTAATGATTTAATCTGCTATTCTATATGAAGTTCCTAATTTACCGTACGTCTTATCTTCAGAATGTGTCGGGCACTGATGCCTGGAGATGAAGAGAGCGTGAATGATGAAGCAGTATGGGAAGCTCTTCCTGTAAGTCATACGGCATTTTTCATTTAAGGTCTTAGCTGCTGTCGAGAGTAATTGGTTCAGCGGCTTAAGAATAAACTCTTCTTTCTTTACTTGCTTAAGTTGCAGTTAGTTTCTACGTGTGAGTTATCAGTCATAGACAAATGATAAACCATTCTCTATTTTCTAATAACACAACTTTGAACTCTGATTCTAAAGTCATGAATTGAGAGAAATTCTCCTTTTGGTCAATTTCTGTAACTTTAGATTACACAAAGTCAGGCTTAAAAGTCATTTCTGATCTTTGTTGGTGGGTAGGAAGCTACTTCAAATAAAATTTACAGATGTTTTCTTCTTGTCTGCAGCATTTCTGGGTTGCGATTTCCATGGTGTTCTTTCTGGCTGCTACAGTCTTTTCCCTCCTAAAGCTGTCTGGTAATAATTGTCCGGTGTAATAGTTTCTCAAGTTTTTGGCTAAAAATTTAAGTATGTACCTAACATGGGCGTTATAATTCTTGAAATTCACAATAATGTTTATAGCTAGACCTTTTCTGTTTAGTGACCATTTAAATTAGACAATTTCTCCATAAACGAAAAGCTTGAAATCCTGCAGAACGAGTCATTATAAAATGTTTGTATGAATTGGATGCATAAAAGTGAATTTCTTAATTGGTGGAAGAAGTGAATTAATAATATTTAGGGTTTAAACACCATATATTTTTATTCGTTCCTTAATATGCTAAACGTCCTATGCATGGAATTCCCGTTCGTGTGCACAGTGACTGACAGATTCATATAATCATGATTAACTTCAGTCGTCTCACCAACTATGTGGATATTGTCATATCTCTTCACCTATCTACATCCTATCTTATATAAACCATGTCCATTTATTCCTTCTTACATTATTCAAATCAGGCGATGTAGCTGCTCTTGGCTGGTGGGATTTATTCATTAATTTCGGGTATGCATTGTCTTCGCCTTTTCCGATACAGATGTAAATTTCTTAATGATATTAGTGCAGTTGAGCATGATTGTAACCATTGTGTACGTTTTGCTTGTAGAATTGCGGAGTGCTTTGCTTTTCTTGTTTGTACAAAATGGTCTAATCCAGTAATTCATAGAAGCTCACGTGATAGAGAAACCGGGTCATCTTCTACCAATATTAGATATCTTGACTGGAACAGTGGCCTTGGGGTTTTTTCGGAAGACGATAGGAACCAAGATACAACGTGTGGCCTGCAAGACTTTGGTGGTCATATAATGAAAATTCCCCTCATTGTATTTCAAGTGGTACTTTGCATGCATCTAGAGGTACACAACATTTCTATCTATCCTACATTTCTTGTGTTTGGACATTACCAAAAAGCTTGTGGTTTGAACTTTCAGGGGACTCCTGAAGCTGCTAAGTATATACCTGTCCCTGTTCTGTTTTCTCCACTTTTCCTATTGCAAGGCGTTGGTGTTCTATTTGCTGCTTCTAAATTAATAGAGAAGGTTGTTCTATTAATGCGCGGTGAAGATGATGCAGGATTATATTTTAGATTTTCATCCAGAGCCCATGATTGCTTGGGTTTCTTGCACCATGGATCCAGGTGATAAATATGTTTAGTTACTTCCTGATCTGTTTTAATGCGCAAAAGTTATGGAGGCTAACCACAAAATATAAGTTTTTTTGCTGCAACCGAGTTACTAACAAACATCAAGTTGATGCCTAACATTTGATCCTATACATGCTCGCTCAGGCTACTAGGTTGGTGGTCAATTGATGAAGGAAGCCGGGAGGAGCAAGCTCGACTATACTTTGATCAAGACTCTGGGTTAGTACCATTCAACCTTCTAAATAGTCCAAAGAAAATAGTTATATCCACCTGCTGAAGATTTCATGAAAAAATGTGGTGCAGTTACAATACCTTCTGTGGTCATCCTCCTGAAATAGTCAAGAAAATGCCGAAGAAAGAGCTTGCTGAGGAGGTATTTCGCCTTTTTATCTTACATGCAAATATGTCGTCTGTTCTTTTTTTTGTTTAAGTCTTAGTCCTCTGGTATCATTATTACTCAGTGTTGTTCAACCTTTTTAATCATTTTTGATCTAATTCGGTGTCAGGTGTGGAGACTTCAAGCAGCACTTGGTGAACAAACAGAAATCACGAAATTCAGCCAGCAGGAATATGAGAGACTGCAAAATGTAATACTATCTCCTCTTCTTCTGATAATTACACTTCTTACTCTGAAGGGGTTTAGCTTTCTCAACCGTTTCTCTTTCGGTGTTACTTTTCCCTTGGACTGGATTTCACATTTTGATGCTCTCTCTGTTCCAGGAGAAAGTGCTGTGTAGGGTATGTTTTGAAAGAGAAATCAGTGTTGTACTGCTTCCATGTAGACACCGTGTTCTCTGCAGGTATCATTTACTATTCAATGGTTATGCATTTTTCATATGAAGAAACTGAATTTATAGTATAAACAACAAGTGTCATGAAATGCACTAAATTATAGTTCTGTTGTTATTCCAATTGCAATTGCAGACACTGATAGAAATCTGACGTTAGTGAGAGCTCTCTGATCATATCTGCTCATGTGTTTACTCCCATGTTTGTTGCAGAAACTGCTCAGACAAGTGTAAAAAATGTCCTTTCTGCCGTATAAACATCGAAGAGCGGCTCCCCGTATATGATGTTTAACATCTAACTTGTCTGATATATTTAAGTGTATATATGTGTGTGTAGAGAGGAAGATATATGATGATTCACATTCCTTTTATAACCACCTCTACATTGCTGAGTCTTTTTATTTGTGTGAATCAGCATTGAGTATATATATAGGTCAAGCAGAAGTCTATTGTTGGATAAGATGTTATGTCGGCTGATGTGTAGATTATAGATATTATTTACATCTGACATACTTCCGGGAGATATTGCTTGTTTGTATCATTTCATATTAATATCTGTTTTCTTTTTAACTCTTATGTTTATTTCAACTAGGATCGGACCACCGCGGAAGAATATTGGTTTACATACGTTGATTTTAATAGTGTGTGTTTTAAGTTAAGCGAATCGGGTAGTGTACTTATAAATATTCATAATAAAGAATTGTAGAGAAAATGTTAAATTGTTTATAATTAAACCGATCATATTAATTATGATTAAAAATAGAATTTTATGTTTTAGAATTCTAAAATTAGATGATTTATAGGAATTAGAGCAGTAAAAATAAGTCAAAAACCGTGGGTCGAGCCCAAATCATCTCACTATGGGGCATATTTGTGAAAATATATTAAACCCGTAAATAAACGGGCCACACGGATTGATTCGCAGTGGATCATAGGTTTTAATCGGTTTTCGTCCGCGGGTTGGCGGATCAGCCCGCATGTTAGTATTTATTGATAAAAGTATAATTTATTCAACATTTGGTAATTTAAAAACTTTTAATAAATGAAATTATAATATTTATAAATATAATGAGATATAAAATTATTTCCTCTAATTTTTATTTATTTATTTATTTTAGTAGTATTTTAAATTTTCATTACTTTAAAATTATTTAAACAAAATCTACGGACAACCCCGCAAATCAGCATACATTCGCGGGACGGATTTTGTGTTTCATATATGCTATCTTCGGGTCGTGTGGACCAACTAACAATATGTCAAAAATATATTTTGCCTATCACAGAACGGGCTTAACGGGACGAATCAACTCGCTTTGACAGCTCTAGTGGGAATATTATTTAGTCATACAACAAAATAGAGTTTGGACATAGGAATAATAGAATCTATATCCTATTTCTTAGATGAGAGATTGAAACTTTGAAAGGTGAAATATAACGATTAAAAATTAATTATTATTTTTTATGATTCGCAAAATTTAATAAATATTTATCATCTTGTTGAATAATTCTAAAAATCATATTCAAGAAATCTTTAAAATTTTAAAATTAAACTTCTTTGGTAAGCTATCAGTATGAAAATACCTTAATTTCGTTTAATTTAATTAAATTAAAATTAGTTACATGGATTTCATATCTATTTAATTTACACAACCAAAATAAAAATATCTATTTAATTTATAAAATAGATGGGTTAGTTGTGATAAATTTTCTAGAAATCTTTTGAAGCAAGTAAGATATCTTTCAATTAATGCTAATTGGCTAAAATAAGCAAAATTAATGACAAAACGTTGATTGTTATGGAATTAGTTCCAAAAATATATGAACAAATATATTATACGTAATTAGTGTATAGTATTGTTTGGAATATGCTTTTATAATTAGTTACCATAAATACAATCATATTTTATTTTATTTTAGTTCGATTTTTCATTATTAAATATCAATTAGAAATTATATTCCAAAAAAAATTCAAAGATCCGATTTCAGAATTTTGGGTCAATTTTCTGATTTTGACCCGACCCATTTGCATTTGTACTTCTCTTTTAATAGTATAGAGATTTCTGGATCTAATTCTGTGGAACTCTTCTTTTGAGTTCGACTTAAAATGTATATATTATTAAGCGATAAAAAATTGAAGGATCTTTCTAATCTACCAAGAACTTTCACTGAGCAAAGCAGAGTTGTGGGTAAGAGAAATTCAAATTGGGCCGAATCTAGCCCATTGGGCTAAAAGGCTTTTATTTTGAAAATATCAAAGGCGACGCGAGAGACCTAACAACTTACGAAATCAAAGAAGAGAGTGAGAGTGACGGCGAGGAAGAAGAGAGATGTGGTTCGCCGGCGGTGGAGGAGGACTGAGGAAGCTCTGCAGAGCGTTCGATAATGAGATTACGTTTAACTCTTTGTTGGTGAGATACATGTCGAGAGAACGAGCAGTGAACGTCCGGAAGATAAACCCTAAAGTTCCGATCCAAGAAGCTTACGCCATTTCTAATTCTCTCTACGATCTCTTTAAGCTACATGGTCCTCTTTCCGTTCCCAACACTTGGCTCCGCGCTCAGGTTTTTCTCCCTCACTTCTATGATTCTTCACAAATTGATCTGAAATCGTAACAGTCTCCGTGATCTCTGATTTTAGATCCGCCGGACGACAAGCTCTTTAGATCAGTGGTATAGGTTATTAGCTTGTGCATTGTTTGTTTGCGTTTATTAGTGGGGTTTGACTTAGCTGTGTAATTAATTATGCTAAGTGTTCTGAAGAACTTTAAGGGTTGGAAATGTTGTGATCATAGTGATAAACTCTATAATTGTTGATTGTGTTACAAAAACAACAGAAAGCTGAGGTTATTTCAATGTTCTGGAGTATAAGCTCTTTACTTCAATGGTATAATTTATTTACTTGTGCATTGTTGGTTTGTGTTATGTTTGCGTATATTAGTGTTTTTTGATTCAGCTGTGTAATTTGCTAGAATGTTGTGATAATAGTGATAAACTCAGTATTTGGTGATTGTGTTACATATAACAATAGGAAGCTGGGGTTAGTGGACTGAATAGCAAAACGCACATGAAGCTATTGTTGAAATGGATGAGAGGTAAAAAGATGCTCAAGCTAATCTGCAACCAAGTTGGTTCCTCCAAAAAGTTTTTCCACACCGTTTTACCTGAAGATCCTCTACAAGTTCAACCGGCTGCTCCGGTTGAGCACAACAAACAAGCCTTCAAGAAGAAACGAAGCAAATAAGGAAACTGGAGTGAGCAGATATTTTGTTTGTTTCTTTGGGTTTTCTTGTTTCTGTCTCCAAGGGTATGAATTGTTTAAATCTGTTTCTAGTCTGAGAGAAAACATTTTTAGTTGTGGTGTAGAAATTCTTGAGAAAGACAGGATTTACCTAGATCTTTGAAACTCCGTTCCCTTCAATAAAAGAGGATCAATTACCTCTGCACAAGTAACCACCAATACTAACACTCATGAAGATGCTTTGATTCTCCAAATTTCAAAGTTTTCAGAGTCGCATGTATTTCAGTTTCTAACTTTTTACTCTAGCATGCCTGTGTTCTATTTCATCTCATTTTTTTATTTTTTTGGGATAATGTTTTGCTAAGACATGGTCGGATGAGTACTCTACTCTCTCATTTCTATAAGAAACAACCATCGCTTGTGAAGGGATATCAACTACTAATCAACATAGCATCCATAAATCATGTTTTCTCCATATTTAAAGAAACCAAACAACACCGCCATATATATATATATATATATATAGGTGGCCAAAACAATCATGACATTTTCAACCAATTTCTCAACACCACAAAATTAAAAGTTTTTATCTTATACAAATGAGAACATTTTTGAGTATTCCACATTCTCTGTCTTCTTCTTCTCTGAGACAAACAAACATATTTGATGTTATTATTTTCTTGTCCCCTGCTAAGAAAATCTGGCACCGGCATAGGTGGAGACCTCCGATCCTCTCAAATCAGCGGTCTTTGTCAGCACAATCACGTCCAGTAAGACACTGCCTAGTTTTGCAAATGTGGCACTGCAATGCGCCTCGAAGGAACTCGCATATGGCTCAAGAATCTCCTGGAGGGCTAGTTTGACAACGTCAGAGAACTGAGTTTTAGTTTCCTTTCCTATGATTTCTGCAAGTATCATCAACTTTTTCATAGTCTAATTTTAATAAATCAAAGAATGTAATGATGTATCATATATTGTCGACCAATTTTTTTTTTTTTGTCGAATCTTCAACTGATTTATCAACACCACGGTTAAAAATATTTTTGATCCAAATATCGTCACATCTGTGCCTCATCATTTTTCGAGTACTTCGATCCAAAATTTTTGGATTTCGCATATGATCTAATAGGGTTTTGCATGATTTTAGTGCAAAATAGATTTTGTAAAGATGAAAAAACTGTGGAAGAGAGATACTCGAATAATTCAAGAAAAAATCAATAGTAAGAAACAAGTCTCGCTAACGGTCATATATTTTTTTACCTCAGTAATTTTAAAATATTCAACTGCGGATTATTGATGGGCTTAATGGCAAGCCCAACAGTCACATTGTCCGAATTGTACCAAACATGTGTAAAAAAGGAGTATCTTATATTTTATTTAGAAAAACAACAAACAACAAAGCTGAAAGCTCCATGAATCATTTCGGAGTTAGCTTTCCGTTTTTGCGATTCCTTCGAATCGAAATGCAAAATTCACCTACGAAAAACCCAAACTTTTGAGTTCTAAATTCATCACGTGTAACTTGTAAGAGGCATCTTCTTCTCCTCTTACAAACCCTAATTTCTCCGTGTGATTTGATCTAACGTTTTGAGCTTACAAATTTTCTTTCTTTGGGATTCAATTTCAGGCTGCGAAAGTGTTTCGTCAAGCAAACCCACCAAATCTGAGCTTATTAGTATAAGCTAAAGATTCAAGCTTTGATGAATCTCCTCAATTGGGGAAGTATAAGGTATGATAAGGAATCATTAACTGGCAAAGGTTTTTGATGGGTATGAGAGTTTCTTGGTTACATTTGAAATGAGTCGGTCTCCATCGTTTTCTGCGAAGCCTGAGCTTAGTATAAAGCCTGATCCTGAGTCTTTGAAACGATGGATTCATGCATTTTGCATTATGAGGTTTGATCTTGAGCAAGGGCAGCTCTTAGAAGAGTGTTATCCACCAGGTTGTCTCTCACAAGAAGAGGAAATTGAGGTTTCTTTCAACTCTTTCCCGGATTCTGTCTCACAGCATCATAATCGCTCAAGCATACATGACTGCATTTTCTTTTTCCGGTTTCGTAGACCAAAGAAGAACACTGAGGAGAGAGATGATATTGATAGGTACTTGTATGGTTATGTATTTAATAGGCAGAGGCATGATGAAAGATTGAAAAGGGGAGGTGAACAGAAGTCTGTGGTGATATTGTCGCATACACCTTACTCGAGTGTTTTTAGGCCTTTGCTGCAGATTATTGGTCCTTTGTATTTTGATGTTGGAAATAAGGCTATCGAACATATTGCTGGTTATGTCTCTATGTGGCCTGCTCCTGTGCCCGGTAAGCTAATGGAGCTGCC